CTTGAGCCAAGATCCATCTGACAACAGCTTACAGGTATTATATTGAGTGAAAATAAAGCAGACAGAAAAAGCATATAAAATATACTTTAATTATGTGAAATTAAGAACAGGTGAAAATAATTTATATTGATTTAGTCAACATGTTGGTTATATTCCTGAGAGATCAGTGGTGATTGAGGGGCCAGATATTTGATATGTATGGTGGTTACCTGGGGCTATGTACAATACACTGTACTTTATGTACAGTGACAATTCCTGCACTTAACTTCATGTAAATTACAGCTTGTTAACAAAGGAGAATAACGTTTATGGAGGACATCTCATTTGCTACATACTAGGAATAAAATTATTGCATTGGGCAAGTCTGCTGCAAAACAAATAAACAAACCAAACTCACTGCCGTTGACTCAATTCTGACTCATAGCGACCCTTCCTTGGGTTTCTGAGGTGGTATCTCTATGGAAGTAGATTGCCCAGTTTTCCTTCCAAGCAGTGGCTGATGGCAAAAGATCTCTTTAAAGTATTAAAGAGCAAAGATGTCACTTTGAAGACTAAGGTGCACCAGACCCATGCCATAGAATTTTGAATGGCCTCATATGCATGTGAGAGCTGGACAATGAATAAGGAAGACCACAAAAGAATTGATGCATTTGAATTGTGATGTTGGCAAAGAATATTGAATGTACATGGACTGCTAGAAGAATGAACAAATTGTGCTGGAGGAAGTACAGCTTGAATGCTCCTTAGAAGTGAGGATGGCCACACTTCATCTCTTGTACTTTGGTAATGGTGTCAGAAGGGACCAGTCCATAGAAAAGTATATCATCCTTGGTAAAGTAGAGGGTCAACAAAAAAGGGGAAGACCCTCAACAAGTGGCTTGACACAAAGGCTGTGATGATGGGCTCAAGCATGGCAATGATTGTGAGGATGATGCAGGACTGGGCAGGTTTCATTCTGTTTTACATAGGGTCACTATAAGTTGTAACTGACTCAATGGCATCTAACAACAACAAGGAATGAAATACAGTAAAACCTGTGAAAACCAGAACCTGTGTAAGGTGAAAGAAAACTTGTCAGAGAAGGAAAATCCAAATATATTCCACTTAAATGAGTGATAGAAAAATGGTAAGACTGCACCCTGTCAAAGCCAGAAAACTCGAGAGACCTGAAAACATAAGGCAGTCCCATCAAGTTCTGGTTCTCACAGGATTCACTGTAGTAAACA